ATGAGTCACAACCGAATCTGCGCCAACGGCTCAAAGCAATCTGAGAGCGCCCTCCGGTGGCCCCCAGGGTGTCCCCAGAGAGGGCTTCCCAAGGGCTGCGGGCAACCTAATGGTCTTTGATTCTTCTTTTGGCTGGAGGGGGGTTCATGCTGATTTTCTGCTGAGATGAGTCGTGGCAAAGTCGCCTGCCCTGAGGGCCCTCGGGAGATCTCTTTTAAAATGCAGAGATCCGAATTCTAGACGCTTCGCGTATCCCCACCAGCCCGTCCAGAAACGACGCCCAGGCGAGTAGAGGGTCGTCCTGAGGGGCTTTTCGGCGTCTTGGGTGCCTCGGGGGGGCCTCTGTGGGCCGTTCGGGATCCTCTTTGGGGCCTCCTGGGGGCCTCTTGGGGCCTCTTGGGGCCATCTTGGGGCCTTTGGGGGCCTCCTGGGCGCTTCTTGGGGCCTCCTGGGCGCTTCTTGGGTGCCTCTGGGGGGTCTCTTGGGGCCTCTTGGGGGTCTCTTGGGGGCCTCCTGGGGGCCTCTTGGGGGGCCTCGGAGCCATCTTGGAGGAGATCGATCAACGAAGGGGGGTTCCCTAATTACAGTCCCCCCCTCAGGAGCCACGATCCTCGTGAGGGGTGTCGAATTTTAGCCCTCCCAGGGGTCGATCTTGGACGCTCTAACTACCCGCGGCCCCCCCTGTCCAGGTCAGTGGGGAGGGGGTAGGGGGAGGGGTAAACCCCTCCCCGAAGGGGAAGAAGGAGGGGTGGAAGAGGAAACGCTCTAAACCACCGACGCCCAGAGGGCTGGTGGGATTCAATGGACTAGCCGTGTGGGCCTCCCTCCTCCCTTTTGTTTTACTCAGGGACCCCACGGGCGCCCCCTTGCCTCTGCAGCCCCTCGAGCCCCTCGAGCCCCTTGGACTCTGCTGGCCCCCATCGAGCATCCTGAGCCTTCCCTCCTCCCCCACTGGCCCCCACGATAGAGCCTCTGGGGTCATCCACTCCCCCCATCCCTCGCGAGTCCGCCCCCCCCTTTTTCTTGGCGACGTCCGGCGGCGCAATGAGATGCGAAGGTTGCATTGAATCGGCCAGGCGTGTCCGATATCGGGGTTTTGCCCGAGTAGCCCAAGTAGCCCCCTCGCTCGCTGGACAGTTCGGGCTCCCTGGGCGGCTCGGGTCAGTCAGAATGCATCACGCGCCGGGGCTACTTGAGCTTCCTGGGCTAATCGAGTCAGCTGGACTGCCTCGCACTTCGCGGGTAGCCCAGCTGGAATGCTCAAGTCGCCCTGGTAGCCCAAGTAGCCCGACCGCCCAAAACGACTCGCTTTCGCGGCACCTTCAGCGTCGCCATGACGGGCCTGGCCTCGCATTTGCGGCGTCGTCAGCGTCGCCATGGTCAGCCCGACTACACCTCCACAGAATACCGCTTCTGTTTCGCGCCCGCCCGCGTGCCAGCTCGATTTACGCGTCATACTTTCAATGTCCCGCCCGCCCGGTACGACTCGCTCTCTCGGCGCCGTCAGCGTCGCCATGGTCAGCCCGTCTACACCTCCACACAAGATGACTTTATCGTCCCGTCCGCCCGACCCGACCCGCCCGTCGGGGCTCGCGCGTGCCAACTCGATTGCGCGTCACACTTCACATGTCCCGCCCGCCCTGCACGACTCGCTCTCTCGGCGCCGTCGTCGGCGTCAACACTTGTGCTATCGCTGGAATTCCCCGCCCGCCCGGCCCGACTCGCCCAGTAGTCACCGAGCGCGCTCCACTACTCGCAAAGTGCCTGCTCGCAAATGTTCAAGATTCAGTCTCGCCTCGCTACACAGTGGAGGCCCAAGCCAAGAAACACCCTGCTTGCCTCCAGGGTGCCCTTTGGTTCTCGGGTTTCGATGGTTTTGCGATGGAAAACGTGACGTTCCCTCACCAAAAGTCAACGGACGTCCTGGGCTCTCAGGGTTGGGTTTCTTGTGGAAGGTTTCTTGTGGTCGGACTCCTATTGTAATGGATTGTAAATCCCCCGCGGCGGATACAGGCCATTTGCCAGCAGTCCCTCTGCGAGTCGTGGACCGCGCCTGTCTTGTTTAAGTAGGGCTCGCGCGCGCCAGCTCGCCGGCGGCGAGAACGTGCGGGTGAGCGCGCGAGGGCGCTGTGTCTTGCTGAGTTGTTTCCCGTGCCTTCCCCCCCTTGAACGGCAAAAGGCGCTTAGATTCGAAGAAGAAAAGACGGCATAACCACAAACATAAACTTTCGACGGTCCGCACGTATTTCTTGGATCGGCGCTTGGGCCCCCCTGGCGGCGCCTCCAGCGCCGCCTCTGGCGCGCTCCGCGCGCCAGGGAGGGGGGTCCAGCGCAGATCCAGGCCAGGCAGTCCGCGTGGAGCGCCGAAAGTTTATGCCTATGCCGTCGTTTTTCTTCCTCCCTCGATGTCCCCCCCCCCCTGAACGGCAGAAGACACCACGTCACAGCGCTTGCGCGCTCGAGGCATCGCCTCCGCGCGCCGGCGGCCAGTCCGCCACAAATAGGCCTCGGGAAACAGAACATGCCTCGGGAAACACAACGGCGCGGCGGCGGGCACGGCGCCCGACGCACCTGTTTCCTGATCGGTTGGCCCTCGGGGGGACGGAGGGGCAGGCGGGGGAGAAGGAGGGGGAGGAGGGGGAGGGGGAGGGAGAGGAGGAGGAGGAGGAGGAGGAGGAGGAAGAGGAGGAGGAGGAGGAGAAGGAGGAGGAAAAGGAGGAGGAGGAGGAAAGGATGAGGAGGAGGAGGAGGGAGGAAAAGGAGGAGGAAAAGGAGGAGGAGGAGGAGGAGGAGGAGGCTGAGGAGGAGGACGACGGCGACACGGGGGCAGGAGCAGCAGCGGCAGGGGCACGCACAGCAGCGGGGGGGAGGCGGACGAGGCACAGGAGGAGGAAGAGGAGGAGGAGGAGGAAGGAGGAGGAAGGAGGAGGAGGACGACGGCAACCGCGAGGACGAGGACGGGCGCGAAAAGGAGGAAGGAGGGACGATCATGAGGAGGAGGAGGAGGAGGAGGAGGAGGAGGAGGAGGAGGACGAGGAGGAGGACGAGGAGGAGGAGGAGGAGGAGGACCGCTTCTGGTGGTTCTGGGCTACTCGGGCTACTTGCTACTTGGGTCAACCCTCTACTTGAGCTATTTGGGCTACTTGGGTCAACCCAGTCAGGGACACGCCTCGCACACGCACTGGAAGCTTGGTGTCCAAAAACAAGGGGAGGGCAGACAGATGGACAATCACCTTTTTCCATCCGATTTTCATGGGGGCTCGCTGGATTCCATGATTCACTCTCCTGCAGAAGAGTATCCCCATTTGGCTACAAGTGCGGCATGCTAAGAAGGGTTTAGTAAGCGGTTGACTGCCCGGCCCGTCAGTGCGAACACACGTAATGTTTGTTTTGAAGGGTGCGGGCACGCCCCAGCAAGGCCCCCGTCTTTAGCGTACCTCGCTGTGGGAGGGAGCCAGCGGAAGGCCTGCGCAGGCAGGCGGGCGTCAAATCGGCGGCGGGTCCGCCGGAGGAAGGCCGGCGGAATTTGAATGCGAGACGTCAGCATCGACTAGACGTAAGGAGGCACCTTTCGCCGGAGTGACCTTTAGTGCGGGCCCTATGGGGTCCCCCGATCATCGAATGCGATGCGATACAGTGGAGACTCATGCCAAGAAGCACCCTGCTTGCCTCCACGGCGCTCTTGGATTATTGGGTTTCGATGGTGTGCGATGGAGGGCGCGACGTTCCCGCACCAAAACAATCAATGGATGTCCTGCGGTCTCAGGGTTGGGTTTCTTGTCGAAGGTTTCTTGTGGACTGGGCGAGAGCAGCGTCTCGCGCGCTTGTGTGTGGTCCCCCCGCGGCCTCCCGAAGGCCGCGCACCAAAGGCCACTCTTACCCAGAGTCTCTCCTGCGCGCAGTCGACATCATGTTTGGACCTAGGGTTCCTGGAATCGGCCAGTGCATGCTGGTGCGTTGACCTGTGGGAGTCCTGAACCTATGCGAGTCCTGAACAACGAAGACGACGGGCCTGCTGTTCGCCGCGTTCCGTGGCCGCGGCGCCATCAGCGCACAGGAGTGAGGCCGATCGTACTTCGGCGGAGAACAGAGGGGGGGTGTCTGAGGGGGGGGGCCCTTTCTGACAAGCCAACGGCAGCCAAGGGGCTTCTGAGAAGGCTGGGGCCGTCTCGAAGGCCCCGGAGGCTTCTAATAACGCTCTCCCTATCTTGTAAGCAGGCCCGAGCCTTCCTAGAAGGCCGCCTCCCCATCGCGTGCACCCCCTTATCTGCACAGGCAAGATTTGGTAGCTTTTCTGCTTTCAGTCCCTTGCCACCACGTTCTTTCTTCCTGGCGGGGAGAGTTCGATGGAAGGAAGAAGGGTCAGAGCCTCCCGCCGCATCAACTATCAGTGGGACGTACTAGCGAGGGATGGTAGTCGACGTAGTTTGCACACTCCATTGGGGGCTTTCCATTGTCCCTTTCATCCCTCTCTCTGTTACTCTTTCTATATGTCTCTCTCTCTCTCTCTCTCCCTCTCTCTGTTTCTCTCTCTCTCTCTCTCTCTTTCTCTCTCCCCCCTCTCTCTCTCTCCCTCCCCCCCTCCACTCGCCGCCTCACATACATCCTGCCCCTTCCCTCCTCCGCCTCCGTGAGGGCCGTTTGTGGCACGACCGCGCTTCGCCGAAAAACACAGTGTGCCCCATGCTTCGTTGCGCGCGTGCCGCTGGCCGTGCCCGCGGGAGCGCTCACTACAGCATTGCAGCTTGGCTCCATCTCTTCAGGGGCAAGGTTAGGGGAGGGCCGGCTCGTGGTGCGCCGGCCCCCTGGCGCCCACTCATCGCCGATGCGGGCCTGATAGCCTACCGCACCCAGGAGCATGCGGTTTCGCCATTGGGGGGCCTGTCTCCGACCTGCCGGAGACGTATTGCCGAGTACGGCTCGGTGTTGCCCCCCTGGACAACACCCCCTCGCCTGCCGTTCCCCCTCGCCTCTCGTGCCATTTCTGCTGGGCCCCCCAGGAGGCCGCCTCGCCGCGCAGCCCGCGCAGCCCCCGCGACCGCAGCCCCCGCGACCGCAGCCCCCGCGACCGCAGCCCCCGCGACCGCAGCCCGGCAGCCCGCCCGGGTGAGCCGGGCTCTCCGCGCAGGCCTCCCCGCGCGCGGCGGGGCCGCGCACTGGGACGTTTGGTGGGGGGGGGGGCCCGCGCCTTCGGCGCGCCCTTGGTCTTAGCAAGGCTCGGACGTGTGATTTTTGTTTTTGTTCGGCGAGGGCCCTCGGTGAGCATCTTGGATCCTCTTGCGGGAAAAGAGCGCACTGAATCGAAGCACGCACGGGGGACGGACGTCCGAGCGAGGGCGAAGTCCAGACATCGGCTCCCTGGGCTTCTCCCCAGGGGAGAAGGCGGCGAACACATGTTTCCTACGATGTTCAGAGCGTGAATTACCTACCCCGCTTTCGCTTCCAGGCAAAACCAAGTCATACCACGCGCCTCCTCGTCAAGCGGCCTGACCAGTACAGGCCGTGGTTTGGCATCGCTTGGTATCTCTTGGAAGCGAGGGTGGTCAAAAGCGAGGTAGGTTTGTTTTGCCCCTAGATGTGATTTTTCCAGCTGGCGGTTTTTCTTCGACCCTGACCCTCGCGAGGTCCGTTCCCCAGAGAAGGGTGCGAGGGCCGCGGACTGAACAAATCGATCGGCGGACGTCGGTGAACAGGGCTCTCCTTCGTTCGAGGGTTTTGGGCGCTCGAAGTTCTATGTGAGCGGCGCAGGGAAAAGGGGGTCGACTGCGCCGACATTGGCGTGCACGCTGCCCGCGTAAGGTCGCGAGTAAGCGCCCTCGTCTCCATTGTGGCGTGCCGCGCCGGCGTCCCGCTTAAATCACCGCGTAAGGCCGCTGTGTCAGCTAGCGTGATTAAGACCCTGTTGTTGTTCGTCCCTCATGGGTTTCTGGCGTTCTCGTGACTTCCTGGATGCGCCCCAGCCTGAAGGTGCTGTCCATGGGAGCTGCGCCCCTCAGGGACCCGCCGGAGAACCGAGCTATGACCCGACAGCAATTCCTCGCGCCCTCAGCCGACTGGATACGCACGTTTTGATACTCAACACGTACTGTGCTCAAAACGTCCGTGTCAATACACGTTACTACGTTGGCCCATTTTTTTCTCGAACGCATCGCGTCAGACCTACGTTTTCAGTGTACGTGTTGAGCTCCGTGTCAACACGCTACGCGTTGCGTGTTGCGCATCTGGGCAGCTAAGCTCGCGCCGTGACAACCAGAAAACGCGACGCGAAGTCTTTTGCCGTCGTCGGCCTCAGGGCGCCTTTGCCGGTAGATGCGCCAGGCCGTCGAGGACTGACCTGGGCCGAGAGACCAGTCGCAGGGAAGGGGTCCAGATGATGGGCCGATTTTCAACCACCACTACCATGGGCAGGACGGGGGAGCAGGGAGGGGGGAGGTCTTCCTCCTCCTCCTCCTCCTCCTCTTCCTTCCTATGGTAGTCGTGGTGGGAAATCGCCCCATCACCAGACCTGGAGCCACGTCGTGAAGATAACACGGTGTCACGTGTCAGGGAGAGTTTGGCGGCGGGCCCGCCGCCAGGTCCGCCAGCGAAAGGCCCAGCGGAAGGAAGACCAACGTGAAGAAGTTTGCGCCGGCAGTTGTGGGGTTTGGAGTCTCTCGGTCGGCCACGTGGGGGGCGCGCGGCTCAACCTCCCCTGATGTCCAACGTGTTGTTTTGCTAGCTCCTTTCTTTATCCAATGCTAATTATGTAAAGGCGTAGTACATACACATGTACAAACGCATATTCAATTTCAACATGTATACAGCGTGCATGTCTGTATGTATGTATGTATGTATGTATGTAGGTAGGTAGGTAGGTAGGTAGGTAGGTAGGTATGTGTACTTATATATACACATACATATACATATACATATAAATACATGTATAAATATATAGGTATAGACATATGTATGCACATATATACATATATATATATATGTAACTGTAGCTGTAGGTGTGTATATAAACGTATACAGGTAGGACAATGCAATACGTATCGAAGACGCCGACAGCGAGTCACCGCCGCCCCCTGCCTTTTTGGAAGCGCCTATGTGGCCGAACGTTGAGGCCAGACCTGCCAAGCTGTCGGACCATGTGTTCCCCGAATCGGTTTTGAAAGCCTTCGCGAAACAAGTGGGCATCTTGAAGGTCACCTTGGCCGTCTGGAGGCTATGTTGACCCTTTTGGGCCTTCTTGGAGGACGTCTTGGAGGGCTCTTGGGCCGTCTTGGAGGCCATCTTAAGCGTCTTGGAGGCCTCTTGGGCCGTCTTGGGGGCCTCTTGGGGCCGTCTTGGGCCTTTTGGGCGATCCTTGGAGGCACTTGGGCCGTCTGGGGCCGTCGGAAGGCCGAACAAAGGCAAATGCCACAATCCTTCAACAACTCATGGGAAAACAATAATGTATGTCTTTTCGGGCCTTCCTGGGGGCCCTCTTGGAGGCCTCTTGGGCCGTCTTGGGCCATCTTAGGGCCATCTTCGGCCGACTTTGGTGGGCTCCTGGCCCGTCCGACGCCGTCGGAAGCCGTTTGGGGGGCCTCTCTGGGCCGACTTGGGGCCCTCTTGGAATGCTCCAGGGCAGTCTTGGAGGCCATCTTGGGCGCCTAAAGAGCCTCCTGGGCCGTCTTGGGGGCCTCTTGGGGCCGTCTTGGGGCCTGTTGGGCCGTTCTGGGGCCACCTTGGAGGCCTCTTGGGCGATCTTTGGGCGATCTTTGGTTCTCTTGGGCCGTCTCGGGCTGTCGGAAGGCCGCAAAGAAGCAACTGTCAAACTCCTTCAACAACCTAAGGAACATCAGTGTTTTTGACCTTTCCTGGCCTACCTGGATGCCCTCTTGGGGGTCTCTTGGGCAGTCTTGGGCCAGCTTCGAGCCAACTTCGGCCATCTTGGTGGGCTCCTGGCCCGTCTGACGCCGTCGGAAGTCGTGTTGGGGGCCTCTCTGGGCCGACTTGGGTCCCTCTTGGGGTGTTCCAGGGCCGCCTTAGAGGCCATCTTGGGCGTCTTGGAGCCCTCTTGGGTCGTCTTTGTGCCCTCTTGGGGCCGTCGTGGGGGCCTCTTGGGCAGTCCTGAGGGCATCTTGGGCCGTCTTGGGTCGTCGGAAAGCCGAAAAGGAGCAAATACGGGCCCTCCTGGAGGACCTCTCGGAGGCCTCTTGGGCCGTCTTGGAGGCCTCTTGGGCCGCCTTGGGCCGTCTTGGAGGTTTCTTGGGCGGACTTGGAGATATTTCATCCTCTCCTGGGTCGTATAGGAGGCCATCTTGGGCGAACTTGCAGGCCATCTTGGGCCAAAGTGGCCATCCTGGAGGCCATCTTGTGCCATCTTGGAGGAGTTGTTTCCGGATTGAGGTCCTTGGCAATCTTTCCCGGTGGCCAGCGGGACGGGCCGAAGCCCCAGGGGGTGCTCGTTGGACGAAGAACCAAAACCAAAACCGAGAGGGTTCAGCACGCCAGGCACCCCTGCGATGAATCGACAGAAGGTGGCGGCTAAATCATGGCCTTCGGCCCATCCCGCCACCGTGCAAGGGTTGTGGGTGGGACATTCCAGGGATGCTTCTTGCCGCCACCGTGCATGGGTTGTGGGTGAGTCTTTTCGGAGCGCTCTTAGGGGACCCTTGGGGGCAGTTTTGGTGCCTCGTGGGGCCTCTAGGGCCTCTTGGGGGCCTTTTTTGGGGGGGCCTCTTGGGTCCTTGGGGGCCCTTGCGGCAGTTCTCCTCGATGTCGGCCTCTGGGGCCCCTCGAAAACGGACCCACGAAGGACCACTACCCCCAGGGAAGCGGTCGGGACCTCCTCGCGAACCCAAGACAAAATCTAACCCCCAGAGAAGCGGTCAAGACCTCCTTGGGGCCTGGGATGGACAAAATCACACATCGGCGAGTGTCAGAGCATGGTGCCCCAGTCGACCGATGTCTCGATCTGTTCAAAATGAAGTCCCCGGAAGGCCCGGGCCTCCCCAAGGGGTTGGTTCGCCATCCTGAGTACAAGAATTTGTTGTTCCGCCCGCCCGTCAGGATCATGCCCTTCGTGCCCCATGCTCGCTCGCGCCCTTTGTGCCTCATTGCTGCCTTTCGTGGCCCCCCTCTTGTGGCCCAGTCGCTGCCCTTCGTGGCCCCGATGCTGCCCTCAGTGGCCCCTCGCTGCCGTTTGTGGCCCATATATCAATATATATATATATATATAATATATATATATATATATATATCAATATATATATATATATACATATATATATATACTACACGCCCTTCGTGACCCCACGTCGCTCGTGCCCTCAGTGGCCCCCATCGCTGCCCTTCGTGGCCCCACAGCTGTCAGTGGCCCCCTTGTTGCCCTTTGTGGCCCATATGTTCGCCCTTCGTTGCCCACAGTCGCTCGTGCCCTCAGTGGCCACACTGCTGCCCTTCGTGGCCCCAGTGTAGCCCCGTGTGCCTCCTCCTCGCTGCCCCCCTCGCTGCCCTTTTTGGCCCATGTATTCGCCCTTCGTGGCCCCCAGTCGCACGTGCCCTCAGTGGCCCCATTGCTGACCTTCGTTTTCCTGGCGTAGGCCCTTTGCGGCCCATATATACGCCCGTCGTGGCCCCCAGTCGCTCGTGCCCTCAGTGGCCCCATTGCTGCTCTTCGTGGCCCCGCTGCTGCCCTCCTCGGCCCCCATCGCTGCTTTTTGTAGCCCCCATATACATACCCCTATATATACACATGTATATATATATATATATATATATATGTATGTACTCCACTCGTGGCCCCCAGTCGCTCGTGCCCTCAGTGGCCCCATTGCTGCCCTTCGTGGCCGCAGTGTAGCCCCGTGTGCGCACACCCGCTGCCCAATGTGGCCCCCTCGTCGCCCTTTGTGGCCCATGTGTTCGCCCTTCGTTGCCCCCAGTCGCTCGCGCCCTCAGTAGCCCCATTGCTGCCCTTCGTGGCCCCAGCGTAGCTCCTTTTGCCCCCCCCCGCTACCCATTGTGGCCCCATTGCTGCCTTCAGTGGCCCAGACGGTGCCCTTCGCGGCCCACCGTCGCTTGCGCCCTCAGTGGCCCCGTTGCTGCCCTGCGTGGCCCCAGCGTAACCCCTCGTGGCTCCCTTGCTGCCCTCTGTGGCCCCGTCAATGCTCTCAGTGGCCCCATTGCTGCCCTTCGTGGCCCCCCTGCTGCCCTCAGTGGCCCCCATCGCTGCCCATTGTGGCCCCGTTGCTGCCTGTGGTGGCCCATGTATACGCCCTTCGTGGCCCCCGCTCGCGCGTGCCCTCAGTGGCCCCATTGGTGCCCTCTGCCCCGCTGCTGCCCTTGAGTGGCCCGTTGCTGCTTCTCTCGTCCGCAGTTCTGCACCCTCCCTCTTGTCCCTTGCCTTCCTCCCTACACGTGGCAGGTCAGGAGGACTGTTGTTGTTGTTTATGTTATTGTTGTGCAGCCGAAGACCGCGGGAAGCCGCCGCAACGGCTTCTAAGCCAGGGCCCAGGCTCCCTGCGACCGATGGTTTTTCGACGCAGGATCTAGCAGGATCCTGCGGGACCTGGCAGGATCTTGCGCAGCCTGACGGGCCCGGTTTTGCATTGACCCGGGCCAGTAGAAGCCCGATTGGCGCGAGGGAGGACGGCCTCCCGAGAAGGCGCGGGGGGAGCTTAAGAGGGCAGGCAGCCACCTCGAAGCCCATCTGCATTCTCCAGGGGCCTTCCTGGGATGATCACAGGTCGCTCCAGACCCAGAGCCCCTCGGGCAATGAAACAGCACAACGGCAGGTTTTTGTTCGAGCTCTTCGGCCTCTGGGTGTCCTCGCCGAACCCAGGAGCCGTCAAGAAACGACTCAGGATGAAAAGCTTGTCCGCGGGGAGATGATGGGTGAAGACCTTTGGGGGCATGAACAAACCATGACGTCGGGGGCTGCTCGACGGCACCTTGGTCGCCAATTTCGTCACGGGGCAGATGGAGGACGCCTCGTGGCACGCCGCCCTCCTCCTCCCCCTCCTCCTCCTCCTCCTCCTCCTCCTCCTCCTCCTCCTCCTCCTCCTCCTCCTCCTCTGGGAGCGTTGCGACATGCTCTCAGAGAGCTTCGGGACGCTTTGGAACGGCCGGCCACGGCGCCCAATGCATCCTCTATGCCGCACGGGGTTCAGAGATCCCCAACCCATCCTCGTCTCGACTTCTCATGATCCTGGCTCTGCCTTTAACCCCCTATCTGAGCAGGCCCCCTGCCTTCCAGGCAGCATCCGCGTCGTTGCGAGTGGATCACAGCATCGGTCTGTGATGGTCCCGAGGCCCAAAGCTGGGCGAGAGCGCTTGCTGTGACATCGCACCATCAAAGCGTCGTAACAGAAGCAACGGTGAAGAGGCGGGTCGAGGAGCGGGAGGCGGCAGCCACGACAGGGGTGAGAGCACGACCATGCGCTCCTTCGTGGATAAGATAGCACATGGACCGTGGCCGTCAGGACTCACGGCTTAGCCGGCACCGAGCCGAGGGAGCGTTTCCTGCTGGACGGCCACCAGACCAAACGTCCCAGGGCTCTCCGCCCCCGCTGTGGGACTCGTTTGCGTTTTTTTTGTTTCTGCACTGTTGATGCCCTGTAGCGTTACGCCATGAGGGAGGAATTGCACCCTCCAGATCTCAGGAGCTCTTGCCCATTCCAAACCCCAGCAGCCCCCCCCTGAGATGCGACGTTGTGCAAAAACTCCTGGCACCGCGAGAGATCACGCCCAGAGCCGTATAGACTGCCTTTTCCGAGCCAGATCGGCCCATGCAGTGGCCCCGGGCCCCGAGAGCGGGCGAACCCGCCTGGTGTAAAGACTCGCAACATACGCCGGGGTCTTTTGGGTTTCCGCCCCGCCCACCCCGGTCATCCGGCGCTCCAATCGTTCCGATGCGTGGGCCCCCGGGGCCCTGGTCCACTCCTCGACAGAAGGCCGGTTGTTCACTCTGGGTATCTAGGCCTCCTAGATGGGGTCGGAAAATCGCGCCGCATCGCCGATGCATGGCCGATGCATCGCTCATGCGGCTCGATGTGGAGCCCGATTTCATTTTCGCCGGCGTCGCCGATGCACCGCCGATGTGGCCGATGCATCGGCAATGCATCGCGATGCATGGCCGATGCATGACAGATGTATCGGCGATGCAGCGCGATCCTCCGACCCCATCTACTCCGACCCCGTCTGGCAGGCCTCTAGCTAGGCCTCTAGGGTAGTTTTGTTGACGGTCCCTGGGCCCGTTGAGGGCCCTCGGAGGCTGAAAATGCTACAAACCGGCCGTTCCAGTTTTCTCGGAGCCTCGGATCTCTGGGACCCCCGGCAGCACCAGTTTCGAGCTCATCCCTATCTCTGTGATCGACCAGCCCAAAGGCGATGACCAACTTAGGGACGCAACCTCATGCATGATGAGGGAACCCTCAAGACTGGCATCGAGACAAGGCGATGCCAAACACAGGGATAGTGATCTCTTCCAGACTGGCAACAGCAGCCGCTCCTCCGCAGGGCCGCGTCCCCGCGGAGCTTCGGGCAGCCAGCCGCCGACCGCCTCGCGCCCGAGCGGGGTGCGGGCGCCTTCGCCTTCGGCCTCGCCGGGGGGGCGCCCGCCTCGGCTGCAGCCGTCGCCCGTTGCGCGGGCGCGGGCGCGTCGACGTCTTCGTCGTCGCATCTCGGGGCTGATGCTGTCTGCTGCTATGCGTTCCACCCTCCCCAGATCGCCTCGAGTTCGCTGCTTTCAGCTCCTGGGGTCCATCACCAGGCCTCGAGGCCGTCAGCAAACTAGTCAGGATCGGGCGGGGCTAGGACGAGGACAAATTAGTTCCAGAGCGTTCGTGAACGCTCTCAGAGCTTTCCCGAAGTCTCTGAGAAGGCCGGGGCGCCCATACATTTTCAGAGCCGCCAGATCTCATATATCCCCGATGTATTATCACCCGTCATAAGTATCCTCGTTCGGGCTTCGACTTACAGGATGAAAAAGAGGCGATCCCAGGGAACGGTTCGAGACCTCTGGGGATCGATGTTAGTCGGTTGGTTTCCTCCTGCCTCTCGCTTCCCAGTGCTTCCCCTCCCCTTTCCACTCCTCCTCACCCCCCCACTCCATCGGCGGCGGCGTGCTCCGCTGTGCCAGGCGGCCTGGGTCAGGGACGGCCATCCGGAGGCTCGCCTGTTTTCCTCTTCGCTGGGAGGATCGACGTTCTGAAAGAATCGTGACGTCGGGCGTGTCCCTCTACGGGAGGAAGATTCAAACATATGTTTAACAATCTGGGGATGATTTGCTGAGCATTTTTTGGTTGGTGACAGTTTGAGCATTTTGTGCTACTTGTTGTCTTTCCTCCAAAATGCGCCTGTAGGGGGACATGCCCATCCTAAGTCTGGGTCTGCCGACGCAGCCCTCTGTGGTTCCCGCGGCCCTGGCGAGAGGTCGGAAAAAGGGTTTTGTCCGCCTTCTGACGTCAGGCGCGCGTGCAGCGGCACGCCGCCTGGCCCGCGCGCGAGAAAGGGTCCCTCACTTGAACACTCGGGCTTCCCCGACTTCAGAAGGGGGGGAGAAGGGGCAGGCCTTCTCAGAAGGCTCGGAAGTGCCCCGGCATTCCGATCTGTTTCCGGAGCATTCCCTGGAGACACGGAAAACTGTCCAGGAAGCGCTATGGATTCAGAGAAGCCCCGCAGCCTTCTGAGAAGGCCTTCTCCTTAGCACTTCCGCCCCCCCTCGCTCGCCGCCGACCGACATCCTCGCGCCCTGGGACCGTCAAACAACGACTGCTGATGAGAAGCCGGCCCTGGGGATGGGCTCGGCTTCCGGGGACTCGGCATTGAAAAACACAAGACATCGGACTTCAGGGTTTCGAGGTTGCTTGGCGCTCTCGCAGGGTTGCCGTCGGCCTGTCGAGGTTTCCCTGTGGTCTGGGGGGCGGCCTCGGGGTCTCTGGCGGTCTTGGTCGAGGTTTCCTGGGGCAGCTCTTTGAGGTCTCTCGTCGTTTTTCTGCTCGCCGCGGGCGCTGCCGTCGGCTTCTCGAGCTGCTTGGTTGGGGGTCCTCTCGGCGGCTCGCGGCCCACGGGGTGCTGCGCCCATCGGCTGCGCCTTTTATCGGGATGCCTTCCCCGAGGCCCCTGACGTCATCAGAGTGAAGGGGCCCTGGGTGCGTGGTTGCATTGAGAATCCGTGGTGAGGATTCTGCCTGTTGCGCATATTGTTTTGTTCTCTATCAAAGTGTGCCCCTCGACGCTCGCACCCTGTTTTTTGGCAGGGAAAAGTCTTGATGCTCAAACCGGGCCCCTGGCCCCCGGGTTAGAACAACAACGGTTCCCGCCTGAGACTTCCTCACACTTTAGCCGCGAACCCCCGCTCCCGCCCGAGACTTCCTCGCATGTTATTGAGGAATCGTTCTCTTGCTTGGGACCTCCTTACAATTTATTTACGAGAATCGCTCTCCCGGCGCTCTGGAGTCGCGCTCTCGCTGGAGACTTGCTTGTAATTTACTGACGCATAGCGCCCTTGCGCTGGAATTTCTTGCAATTTACTCCAGCGCCGCGCTCCCGACACCCAGGCACCCAGGAGTCGCGCTCATGCTTAGGACTCCCTCACAGATTACCTAGGAATCGGGATATCGCTGCCCTTCGTGACCCGGTTGCAGACCTTCGTGGCCCTCTCGTTTTGTTTCGTGGCCCTGTTGCAGCCCTTCGTGGCCCCCTCGCTTTGTTTCGTGGCCCCGTTGCAGCCCCTCGTGGCCTCCTCGATGCCCCTCGTGGCCCCGTTGCAGCCCTTCGTGGTCCCGTCGCTTTGTTTCGTGCGCCCGTTGCAGCCCTTCGTGGCCCCCTCGCTGCCCTTCGTGGCCCCGTTGTAGCCCTTCGTGGCCCCGTTGCAGCCCTTCGTGGCCCCCTCGCTTTGTTTCGTGGCCCCGTTGCAGCCCTTCGTGGCCTCCTCGCTGTCCTTCGTGGCCCCATATATGTATGCCCTTCGTGGCCCCCGCTCGTTCGCGCCCGTGGTGGACCCATATGCATGCCCTTCGTGGCCCCTTCGCTGCCCTTCGTGGCCTCGTTGCTGCCCTCAGTTGCCCCGTCCTTGCCCTCCGCGGCCCAACATACGTATGCCCTTCGTGGCCCCCGCTCGTTCGCGCCCGTTGTGGCCCCATGTGCATGCCCTTCGTGGCCCCGCTGTCGCCGTTTGTGGCCCCCTCACTGTCCTACGTGGCCCAGTTGCTACCCTCAGTGGCCCCATCGTTGCCTTCTGTGGCCCCACATTATCTGCCCTTCGTGGCCCCCGCTCGTTCGCGCTCTTCGTGGCCCCATACGCATTCCCTTCGTGTCCCCGCTGTCGCCCTTCGTGGCCTACTTCGTGCCCTTCGTGGCCCTGCTGTCGTTCTCTCTCGCTTTCGCTCGTCGTCGTCGTCGCCGTCGTCGTCGTCGCCGTTGTCGTCGACGTCGTCGTCGTCGTCGTCGTCGTCGTCGTGGTCGGTCCCCTGTCCGTTCCTCTTGGGGTCGGGTCAACGGTCCGCGGCGGCCCCGCCGATCAGCGCTGCCGCTTGCCAGGCCGACGGTCCGCGGCCGCCCCGCCACTTGCCGGGGCCCGGCCTGCAGGGAAGAAAGGTATACCCCCCAAAAGGGGTGCGATCGAAGACGAAGAGGGAGGGTATCGAGGGTTTGGGAAATATGCGTTATTGGACACTCGAGCAGATACGGGCGAACAATATTAAGCTGATTGTTGTTGTTGTTGTTGTTGTTGTTGTTGTTGTTGTTGTTGTTGTTGTTGCCTGGTGCATACTGCTTTTTGTCAATCAGAGTGTACCCCTCGACGCTCGCACCTTGTTTTTTGACAAGGAAAGTCTTCCTGCTCAAACTGGCCCCCTGGCCCCCGGGTTACAACAACAACAGCGGCTCCCGCTTGAAACCTCCTTTCAATTTAGCCAGGACCCCGCTCCCGCCCGAGACTTCCTCGCATTTGATTCAGGAGTCGCGCTCTCTCTTGGGACTTCCTTGCAATTCATTCAGGAATCGCTCTCCCGGCGCTCTGGAGTCGCGCTCTCGCTGGAGACTTGCTTGCAACTTACTGAAGAATGGCCTTGCGTTGGAATTTCTTGCAATTTGCCCAAGCGCCGCGCTCCCGACACCCAGGCACCCAGGAGTCGCGCCCGTTGTGGCCCCATGTGCATGCCCTTCGTGGCCCCGCTGTCGCCATTTGTGTCCCCCTCACTGTCCTACGTGGCCCAGTTGCTACCCTCAGTGGCCCCATAGTTGCCTTCTGTGGCCCCGCATTATCTGCACTTCGTGGCCCCCGCTCGTTCGCGCTCTTCGTGGCCCCATACGCATTCCCTTCGTGTCCCCGCTGTCGCCCTTCGTGGCCTACTTCGTGCCCTTCGTGGCCCTGCTGTCGTTCTCTCTTGCTCTCGCTTTCGCTCGTCGTCGCCGTCGTCGTCGTCGCCGTCGTCTTCGACGTCGTCGTCGTCGTCGTCGTCGTCGTCGTCGTGGTCGGACCCCTGTCCGTTCCTCTTGGGGTCGGGTCGACGGTCCGCGGCGGCCCCGCCGATCAGCGCTGCCGCTTGCCAGGCCGACGGTCCGCGGCCGCCCCGCCGCGTGCCGGGGCCCGGCCTGCAGGGAAGAAAGGTATACCCTGCAAAAGGGGTGCGATCGAAGACGAAGAGGGCGGGTATCGAGGGTTTGGGAAATACGCGTTATTGGACACTCGAGGTCTTAGAATTATTGTTGTTGTTGAACATTATTCCTTCTAAAGAATTATTATTGTTGGGACCCCTGGTGCGCGACCTCTGCGCCGCGCCTAGGCCGCAGCTACATTTTCATCATTTTTTCGCGAAAGCTTCAGAAAAGTGGATGAGCTCCGGATCCGGTTTTTTGTTGACGCTCGTTTTCCCTTGCAAAAAACAATAGAAAATGAAAATTCTTGTTTTTACTTGATCAAATTGCAAGAATCCCTTGCAAAAAATAAGGTAAAGTGGACATTCGTGCGCGCAAGACGAAATCCTTCCAAAACCTTAGGTTTCGTAGCGATTTTAACATAAAAACATCAAAAACCCAATGGTTTTCTCAGAAAAAATTGTCAAAATGTCCTTCCGCGCGCTCTTGCGGATTCCTAGGAAACCCACCAGATTTTAAACATTTCTGTTAAAAGGGCCTTTGCGAGGAACCTTTTCAGGTGCTTCGACCTTCTGCAACAACGGTTGCGAGCCTACGAGGGCCACCATCCCTTGCAAAAAATGACACGAAGTGCACATGCGCGCGGCCGCCGCGCGCGCGTGCCGAAATCCTGCCAAACATAATGTGATTTCAATAATTTCAAGATGCGATGTTCCGAAAACATATGCAAACGCAAGACTTTCTCATCCGAAAAATATCAAAATCCACCCGCGGGCTCTTCATGAATCTTTAAAACCCAAGATGGCCCCAAGAGGCGCTCAAGATGGCCCCAAGAGGCGCCCATGAGGCCGCAAGAGGCGCCCAAGATGGTCCCAAGAGGCCCCAAGAGGACTCCAAGAGGCCCCCAAGAGGTTCCAAAGAGGCTCCAAGTTGGCTCCAAGAGGCCCCCAAGATGGCCCCAGGAGGCGTCCAAGCGGCTCCAAGAGTCCTCCGGGAGGATCCAATAAGCCC